GCATACCCATATTCCTCATATATATATATATATATATATATATATATAATTTATTAAAAATGGTCATATAATTTTATATAATAAAATTAATTTAATACTAAATATTAATATCGTTGTACTAATATCGTTATTAGGAAAAATTCTTCATGAATCAATATGTTCTTTACGATACATAAGCTATGCACTCTAAATTCTTGTGTCTTTTATAGAGCCAAAAAATTTGAATACAAACCTCTAACATGTTGCTCTCACAACAGTAAAATCTACTTAGCAGATGTGGATATTCCAGATGAGTTATATGTCCTATATACAATACAATTGCTCTAAGCAAGTGAATTATAATGGTATTTTTTATTCACATCATTTGGGATAAGATTTGATAGAGACCTTGCATCAAAGAAAATAAAAAAATTTATATTTAGAGCACATCACGAAATATATCATAATCTCTCTACCTAATTTCGTAAGAAAATAACTCTTCATACTTTCAGTTTTACTTCTATGATATAGAGAATGAGCTATAAAATTGAATAAAAATATTAGATAATATAAATATGAGTATAATAACAACTAAAAGTTAACGTGAATATGAGTCAAACCACAACTAAAAGTTTAATTGATATATTACAAGTAAATTCATATGCAAAATTCCTTTACGAATTGAATGATCACTTATCTTTTAAAAACTTTAAGATACTAATAAATAGAAATGTTGTACTAGATTAATGTGTTTATAACTCACAAATAGTAGATCACGTGGTCACAATCTGGATTGAAGGAAACAATGATAATATTTTATTTGAGAGAGAGATCATTGAGTTGATAATCAATCATACAAAAACTTTGTTCTCTTTTTTTATTTTTTACTCTATTTTTATAATTTAAATAATTATGATATTCAACCACGTGCATTGCACGTGCATCTCAACTAGTTTAAACGAGTGTTAAAGCAGGCTTTGCAGCTTAGGTCACTTTTTAAAAAAAATGTGATTTATGGGGCTCCATTTAAGGGCCCATATGAATGGCCTTAACTAGTTTGGAGAGTTTGGCCCAAACTGTAAGAATCATGCTTAGGTTAAAAACAAACAGGAGTTTTGATTTCAGAGAATAGCATTTGTCATGTCAATTCTTTGTGCTAGGTTTTTCTTCATTGCTTTGTGTTATACTAGCTGGAAATGGAGATAAGGGCTTTGCTTGGAGATCACGAGATTTATGTAGATGATAATGCATGCATCTACCCGTGCATATTTCTAACTCTTACTAATAACATTTGCTAAACATATTTTTTTCTTGTTTGCGTTAATTTTTTTTAATGAACCAAGAATTGATTCTATTACAGAGAGTCAAGAAGAATTTGATTACAAATATGTCTTTTTTTGCAAATAAGAATTCAAGTTTTGGAGATCCTCTAAGTGGCAAGTCCTTCAACCTGGATTTGCTTCATAAATATGTTAGATCTGAATATCTGAGATCTAATCCATAAAACCATGATTAATTCAAAGAGAATAAACAACAACAAATATCTGAGATCTAATCCATAAAACCATGATTAATTCAAAGAGAATAAACAACAACAATGAGAGCGGAAGCTTATACCTGAATCCATTGTTTGGATTTGCACGGATCTAAATTAGGGTTTGATCTTCTAATCTTGTGGGTCTCTCCTTTAGAATCTCTTTAGATGGGGATGAAGAGAATAGAGAATGCAACCCTAGATTAGAGACCATAACCCCTTATTTATAGTTGTTGTACTTTTATAATTTGGCCTCTCATCAAATTATAATTACAATCCGGTATCCACACATTTAGCCAATGACATATTTAAATACTCATTGACCTAATTACCTGATTGATCACTTTATGTGTGTCAACTAAAAGATAGCAACACACACTGATATAAAATATGTGCCCACAAATAGATTTAATTAGATTTAAATCTAACAAAATACTTTATAAAAGCTGTCATATAATGATGGCAAGAATATATTCCAGACACCTCTTTAAGTTATCATTCAAGCTTTGCTTGAGTAGTTGCTGGAGAGAAAGAGACAATGCCCATTCTTCATTGAGATCGGAAGGCATTATACTTTTTCTTCTTAGAAAAAAAAAGAAAAAGAGAAAAGAAATAATGTATGTGTTAGCTCCATCTGTTTTCCATCTCTGGAATTTTTATTGCAATTATTTTCTTTGGATGGGAGAGGTATTAAGTTTTGAACTAGTAATATATATCATGTTAATTGTAACATTAAATAGAGAGAAATAATACTCATTCTTTTCTGATCTAAAACCCAAATCTGTTTTTTCCCTTGCCCTTCTGATCTAAAACCCAAATGTTAATTGTAACATTTGATGTTAATTGTAACATTAAATCTGTTTTTTTCTTTTCAAATTGTGTCTGTTTTTTATTATTCCCCTTTTGAAAAAACTTATCTTAAAATGCCAATTGCAACTTTACCTACTTTAATTAGATTATCTCAACATTGTGAATTTGAGGAACCATGTATTTGTTTTCCATAAGAGAATCCCCTATCAAGTACATGTAATTTTTTTTCTCTGGACCATGCACCTAAAATGACTGCACTCTTTTCCTTCTCTGGTTAAATTTGAAAAAAAAAACTCAGTTTCCCTTTCAAACATTATGACTTTCTCATGAGAGCAGAGAGCTTCTGTTTTATCTTCTCTATCTAGATTCCCAAATGCACTTGGCATTTTGTGCATGATCTATCACATTATATGAAAAATGTTATATATCATGCAATACAAACTCACTCTCTTCTATTAGAGAGACCATAAACTTTGTGCATGAAATTTGCCAATCTCATTAAAACTTTATAGAGAAAGAGATGGCTCATGGATGTATTAAATTAAGTAAGGGGCCATGGGCAGTCCGGCGAAGAGGCAGATATGGTGATGAGAAGAGATCGTGGCGATGTCCTTCAGAGCGAGAACGAGAGGAGAACAGGAGGCGGGAGAGCAGGAGGAGATTTATCACGACAAGGATCTTCGAAGGTCTGCGTCGATATGGGAATTACAAGCTAAGGAAGAATGCGGGTAGGAATGAGCTGCTTAAGGCATTGTGCGAGGAGGCAGGGTGGGATGTTGATGATGAGGGGAACATCTCTAGGAAGGTCTACTCAAATTCTCTTCTCCTGCAATTTTATTCTCAGTGCTTAATTAGCAATATTTGACTCCCACCAATGCTGCAGCTCCTTCCATTTAAAATTAAAATTTTAAATATCACGTTAAATGTACTGCAACGACAAATTTACCATACACTTGATCTGCAATAAAAATAGAATTTGTGGCACTTGGTAAAAGTAGTATGATCATTTTTCGCGCTTGCTTTGTGGAATTGTGGGATTGCATGATACGAACAACACATTTCTTGTGGGGCGCATTGAGATGTAATTTTGAAAAGGGATCATCTTAACAATACTCATGTAGCATTAAATGGAAAATAAAAATTAATGTAAATTCATCACAAATAACAGGATAATTATATTAATATAGATTATTGACCCGTTATGATTGAGAAAATGATATCTTCAATACCAATATAGATTCCCTTCTTCTGCTAAAAAATGTTCAATTTTCAAATTAGAACTTAGAAATCTTTACTGTCCGTGATGTGAAAAAATTAAGGTCGTTAATAGCCAGACAAAATTGTAAGTTTTTTTCTAATATTTATTCTCTTCCCATGCGCAGCCTCAGTCTGGAACAGAGCCCTTTGGATCACCCACTTCTCGTATGGAAGTTGAGTTCGAACTCACCCTGGCAACTCCTTGTTAATACAGATTCCAAACAGTTGCTTATATTGTTCTATTTTTGTTCATGAAGGTTGACACAGTGATTAAAAAAATTAACCAGTCACCACTATAGTTCCAGTGAAATATACATACCCAAAATTTCACTTTGAGCTAAATGGTCGGTGGTTACCCGGTTGATGCATTAAAAAGTATTTCACTTAATAATCCAAACATTTACAAGTAAATTTGATCACAAACAAAAGCCAAATCCTTGCATAAAAGGCTAGTCAAAATGATCAAGAATTCAGGATCAATCCCCGTGCAAGTAGACTGGATCAAAAGACAGTGGGCCTTTTTTGGCAACTCTCCCACTTATACGTATAGTGGAATTAACCCGTCTGGTTCAAATTAAATGAAATTTTGCTGGTAAAAAATGAACCAAAATGATCCATTTTGGATAGACTACAAATGAAAACTAGTTTGGGGCAAAACCGATGAAAGGAGGAGTTGTTGCCAAACAGACTCAATATTCTGTGTCTAACGAGACAATAATTCATCTTCTCTAATCTAGAAGTCAACATCTCTTTACGTTGATCCCAACTATTCACCATTATCGATTTTGCTATGCATTATTCTCTCGAAAATTTTCCCCATTGTGTATTAGCAGTAAGGGTACAAACAAATCGGGGAGGAGGCATCTGAGACGACTTACTACATTCGTATCTGCTTATCAATCATTGATACATTTATATCATGATAAAGGAAACTATGTCCATGTCCCAAATTGGATACAAATAGAAATCAATACAGATACATATCAAACATAGCGCATACTGAACAAATATGGGGAAAACCTGATAAGATTATAAGAAATTAATACATGTCATATGATACAAAGATTCCATTAATATGCTCAGTGTATTTAAAAAAAACTACGATTACATCTCTGGATTATGAGAATTAACCTCTAAGTCCATTGATCTAGCTATAAATTAAGAAACTTATACTTATATGACCAACGTCTATTTAAATATTTTTGGATGTTGTTATTTTATCTACGTATCCTCATCGGATACAGATATTAAGCCGATAGATATTAAATAGTATGTTTGGCGTGAAAATTCCAAACACGCGCTCCTGTAGTTCCAACGAAAACCAGCTCCCTCAACCATCAAGAAAAGGCACTCATCTTCATCTACATTACCACAAGCATCTTCTCGCTTCTTCAGAGCTGCTCCAATCAGAAGGAACTGTCTCGTTGAGGAGATGGTGCTGTCAAAACAGGAATATAATAATATAAACAAATTAAGGAGTTAGAAAATTCAGGCCTGATTGGGAGCAGTCGTGATATCACTGCCCTAGAAGATTAAGGACCCGCCTATCGCCCTGGCGCAATTTGTCCTCTCTCCCCTAGCGGTAAAAACCCCCCCCCGCTGAATCCAAGGAACCGTTACGCACGGTTATTGCTTCCGTTACCCGCATGCAGCCGTTACAAAATGTGTAAAACGTGCAAAAATGAAGGCTTGAGAAGCAAAAGGTGTGCGTGTGCGGCGTGCGGGCGCGGCGTGCGTGCGCGCACGCGCGTGTGGTAGAACCGCAAAGCCCACAAAACCCAAAACACTATTCAAAGCCCAATAAGGAGAGAACCATTATATACCCTTTACTATTCATCTCATTTTCCGATGTGGGACTATTCACAAAGGCAAAATTGCCTTTTCATGAACAAAGCTTCCAACAGATGGGACCAACAAGTTATAACTTAAGTTTTGCACACCAAATGTTCGATCAAATTCTCTGCTCTTTCCCCCCCATTTTATACTCTACGGTTAGGGGCTATATGCTATGTTAGTAGTACTCTCACTGACGCTCATTTTTATTTTATAAACTCGTATAGATTCTTGACCTGATAGTTAGCCTTGTTTAATTGTGACCAACTCTGAAGGAGGCAAGGGTGTCGTTTGATGAAATGACTGAAAGAGATGCAGTTTCTTGGATTTCGTTGTTGTATGGATGTGTGCCCATTTGGGTGAAGCTTTATGTATGTCCGACAAAATGAGAACGTAAGGAATTTAACCCACCAAAGTCGTCATCTTGAACCTTCTATATATGTGCTTGCAGCCAGCTGCGTGTCCTCTCTCGATAGAGGACGTTGGCTTCAACTGATGTTTTAGATAGTAGTGAGATTGAGGTTGACATTGTTGTTGCTACGTCCCTAGTGAAATGTCTGCGAGCTAACGAACTAAATTGAGTGATATTGATGTGCGTAGTAAAATTTCCATGAGAAATAAGACTGTGGAATGGGTTGATTGATGAGGTTGTTTGTGGTGAACCTTGTCAGGATCCTTGGCTATGTTCCAAGAGATGACTCAATTTGATAGGAGGCCGGATGAGATAATCTTTGTAAGTGTTCTTTCGGCATGTGTTCAATAACGCGATGTTTTACATGGAAAATTTTCCGTACTTAAAATTTTGTTTCGTAAGTGAAGTTGTCATTGGAAATGCATTGTTCAACATCTGTGCCAAATGCAGAAGTTTATATGCGGCCTGCTGGGATGTTTTCTCATGAACGGTTACAATGTCTAGTCATTTGCCATGAGTCTTGCCTCTTTGAAGAGATACATCGTACGTGGATCCAAATGAAGTTACTTTCATGAGCGTGCTCATATATATGTATGCCAAATGTGGCTTCATATATGTTGCATCACTAATAGCTCACAGAATGCTTTAGATAGATATCTATTCATGGAGTCAATGATTGGACGCGTTGCAACTCATCGGCACAGAAGAGAATCTATTGAACTCTTCGACGACACGCGATTTTCTTTGTGCATGCAGCCATGCTGGCAAGGTTCTTGAAGGCTTATTTTACTTCAATTCCATGCTTAGCTTATAAGGTGTTAGTCCTGATATAGAGCACTATGGTTGTGGTTGTGTAATATGCACACGAGAACCTTATATGCCCCAGAAGTTAAAAAAAAAAATTCCTACATTACCAGTCTTCATACATTTAACTTCTAATTTTCTTCATATCTGTCTTCATACATTTAACTTCCTACGGTATCAAAGGGTGATATTTGTTGCAAGATTTTGTGTTAAAATTTTCAATCTATATCATAATTTGGCTAGGTTAACAAATGGATCCGGATCACAGAATTAAAGAAACAGCACATAATCCAGGCCTTACTAATTGGCCTCGTATTCAGACCTTTTGATATCAAGGCTAATTCTTGATGGTATATATAGTACCTAAACTTGACTTGGGTTTGGGATACTTGTGAACCGGAGGATCATGAATAAAGGCAACCACGCAAATATCGATTCATGTTGCAACTGAAGTGAAGTTTTGTGGAGGTTCCGTTGTGTTCACAGTTTCTGAAGTGAGGAATGGAGCAGCATAACGGAAGGACGATAACAAACATAAGCAAGGAGATAGTGTGTCTTACAAACATGAGGAGGGATTCTGGGTTTCAAGTGTAGTTTGCCTACTTAACATCAAGAATCGCATTCAAACGAGCAACAGGTCTAAGCTCCTACTTAAGGAACTTGTTTTCAAATCTTGAGCTCTATCCGTGTCTCAAAGGGGAACGTAAGTTTACCATTCTCTGTTCTTCTTGTAGACTCATTTTCGCTCTATAAAAATTCTGAATGGTTGGAAGAGCTTATAAACTGCTAGATCAATAGGTTAACCTTTGTGCGCACAACTAGTCTTTTATGATTCAGGGCACATCCCTCTCTCGTCTATAGATTTCGCAGCATGTGAGTTTGATATCAACTTAGAAGGAGGGTAGGTTGATATCAGCTTGACATCTAAAATGTTGAGTGAAGCTTTAAGATGATAGTCATAACGTATCCAAGCTTTGGATGGTGTAGGATTCTGTAAAAGTGCAAGCGTAGCGGCGATACAGAATCCAAAACCGTGGGGCAATCGTGACGTGTTTTGATTAAAAACTGTCATGAAGCTCAACTGAATCGTGTGCGATAATAGAACATAATTCTAACTCGATTGTAGTTTATGTTGTTTAATGGATAAAAGCGGCATGAGGCTGAGCAGAATGCGAAGATTTAAATTCTGTTCTGACCCAATTATGTATTATCATAAAATTGGTATCATAAGTAACTTTTTTTCATTGAA